AATTCTACCTTTAAACTATACTCTTATAAATCTTAAATCTTTAAATTATACTCATATAATTCTTATATATATATATATATAGATATATATATATACACTTATATAAATTTACTATATTATATATATGATTCCTTAGCGAATTGAACGCTAATCCTACTCTTATCAAAAGTATACTTTACCTTTAAGTTAAGGAATCTTTATAATCGGAAAAGAGATGAATCGAACATCTAGGTGTTAATACACAATATTTAGCAAATATCTTACCTTACCTCTGGCAACTTTTCCTGAATATATTACGGGTTAAATCGGCTACGATCCGATATCAATTTTCTCGACAAGAAAACCCTTTACCAATTAAGTTACTAACCCTATAAATATGACCAGTCGAATTCGAATCGACACATTTCACATGGTACGCGAATAGTCTACCATTAACCTATGGTCATTAAAAACATAAGACTTATGGGATTTGAACCCATATAAAAATGATTAAAAGTCATACGTTTTACCTTTAAACTAAAGTCTCTAAAAAAAAAATAATATTTTGATAAATAATAAAAATAAAAATTAAACAAAATATTTAAATACTAAAATTATAAGATTTGACATAATTATCTTAAACAAATTAAAAATAAATTATTATCTTCTTTTAAATGGACTACGGGAGATTCATTTGACTACTTTAGGAAATTGTGATTTTTTAAAAGAATAAACGTGTTTCTTAAGTTGTATACTTTGTCTAGGTAATTTTTTCTGTATAAAATACATACCTTTTTTCAAATCTTCTCAATTATTAACTAAATCTCGTATATCCTTATTTTTTAGACCCATCTTTCTTAAAGCTTTTTCGAGCTTCAATTGTTTATTCATATTTTCACAAATTCTTCATTGTGTTGATTTTAGTCTTTTAGAATTCCCTACAAATTCTCGTAATTTTCTTGACATTTTTTTCTTTAACTCTGTTCTTACAGGTTTGTCAGTTGTTTCTGCAAAAACTTTCTTTAAATCACCCAATTTCTGACTAATTTCTAATGCTCTTGCTCAATAAGCTTTAAATTTTTTGTATATAGAAAGCTGAGATGAAAATAATTTAGCTGAAGCTTCTACAGTATCTCACTGCTCTGGTTCAAGATATTTATCATCTGTAGGTTTATATTCTATTAAATCTCTTTTATAATATTTATCTGCATAATTGTCATTTTCTCATGGAATATCACTATCTCCTGGTAGAAAACCAGAACTGTGTTCTATGGCTACTACTATATTATCGTGGTTCTCACACACTGTTGTAAAGAGGTCTAACATCATCATATCTGTCTTTCTTTCTCTTTAATAACCCCAGTAGTAAACCGATATATATAAAAATAGCCAGACTACATCAACAAAGTGTCAATAGAGTATCCCTCCCTCCAGACCTAAGTGATGGTGGTCAGTAAAATGATAACATAAAAAACGTCATAATCCTACTGCCAGGAACGCAGTTCCCACCAATACATGAAAACCATGAAAACCTGTTCCAAAATAGAAACAAGAAGCATAAACACCATCTGATATAGTAAATGATGATACTGTATATTCTATACCTTGGAAAGCTGTAAATATTGCAGCTAAACCTACTGTATATACTAAACCATATAAAGCACCACTTCTATTACCCTCTATTAATGAATGATGACTATAAGTTACTGTTACCAAATCTCAAAATAATAATTTTATTGTTTTTTATTATTCATGTAATTTTAATTAATTTTTTTTATTTACCCATTAATAATAATTTAATGATTTGTAAACTTAATTAAAATCCTTGTGTTTAAATTTAAAAGAGATTTCGACTATACATTAAGCAGCAATTTCAGCTACCCACCAATGAACTAGTCTGTAGCGATTTTTATAAAAACCGACGGTCTTAACTTATTATATTCGTCGTTAACCGTTTTCATTAGTATTGCCCTATTATATATATATATATATATTAATGTTTTTTTTATAAAATTGCACATTAGATTTATAACAGGACTATGAAATAAATATTTTTTAACTTAAATTGGCTTTAATTATATTTAATTTATATAAAAAATAAGGATGCATATATGGTAATACAATAGGTGTTAAATTAGGTAAATTAGATTTAGGTATATAAATATTATATTGATTAATTGCACCTGTTGCATGTATTGATACTTTTAAATTATATTTTTTTTCTAATATAGATACTAAATATTTTACTTCTAATAATTTAAAACTATTAGTAGCTAATTTTATACCTTTATTTTGTATTCAACCACCATCATCCATAATTCAAATAGCTAAAGCTATAGGAGATAAATAATCATCTATTCAATTAGGTATTTTTTTTTTATTATTTTTATAAAAATCATCATATATTCAATTAAAAGAACTATAAGTAAAAGTTCTAAATCTACAATAATAATTCAATTTACCATTAATTAATCTACTTTGTATTTGAGGTATATTTTCTTTACAATAACCATGTTTTAATAATATCTTATGTAATCATAAAATATATTCTAAATGTTCTCCTTTTTGATAAAAACAAAATCTAGATCCATTACCATCTCTTTCCATATGACCATCACCTAATAAAGATCCTATTAAGATACATAATACTTCAAAATTATGAGGTCCTATACGTTTAGTAGATAAAGTTCTAGATAGACTAAAAGGTAAAAATTTTAAGTTAATAATATTGTTTATTTTATTAAAAAAATATTTATTTCATTTTAGGCAAACACCTGAAGACAATAAAATTATAGTATTTAATAAAGGTAATTCAAAAGGATTTATACCACTTATACCTAAAGGAGGTCACATAGCACCTATTTCAATGTTAGGTGATAAAGAACTATGAAAAAAAGTTCAAAATATAGCTAAAAAGAATAAAGCTTCAGAAACTATAAATAAACCAATACCTAAATTTAAACCTCTTTGTACTGCATATGTATGATTACCTAAATATGTCTAAAATAAATATATTACTATATTTTTGGACTATATCTTAATTAATAGGTTTTATAAACGTATTAATTTTTAACCATCTAGTCTCTGTAGATACTGAGTGATATTTATCTGTCTATCAGTATCCTGCTTATAGTCCTTAACTAAGGATTTTCAAGCAATTTGTTAAATTTAAAGAGAGCACATATATTTTATAATTTATTTATTAAAGATTTTATATATAATATACCTTTTTCTGTATGATGTTCTTTAGTTATTATCATATTATATATAATTTCTCATTTTTTATAATCTGTAAGTTTATTACCAATTAAAGGATATTTATTAAAATATTTAATTAATAACTCTATATTATTAATAGATGAAACATAAGTAGAGAATACTTCAGAGTTTGTATTATTTGTATATCTTTTTAAATTACAAGATAGAAAATGAGCCAAACTTTCCATAAAAGGCTTCATATCACAGCATGTATATTTATCATATACACATTGATCTAATCTAAAATTTAAAGAAATATTAGTACTTAATGAACTTGATTTACTTTTTACACATTTAACACCAAAATGTCCATCAGCTTCTGTAAAACCAGCTAATCAACTATTTTCTTTAAAATCAGAATTATTTAATGAACTATTAGGTATATTAATAGAATATTTTTTATTCAAAAAATCTATTAATTCATTAAATCTTTTATTTTTAGGTGTTCTTAATTTACCATTTAATAAATTTACTATAACTAATATACCTTTTATATCTCCAATGATATAACGTAATATATTATTACCTGTTATTTGAAAACGACCTATATTTCCTAATTCTGATCTTAAAAAAGCATACATACTTAAATTATTTATATGTGAAGTAAATACTATTCTAGGATTAAGTATACGATTTAACTTTGTAATTCCTAAACAAGGAAGAGATATATGACCATCACCTTCTAAAAGACCAGCTAAATAAAAACCTAACTCATTTTTATCTTGATGTTCATTATTATCTTGATGTTCATTATTATCTTGATGTTTAGAAAAAACTCATATATTATTTTTACTCTTATAATCATCTAAAGCTTTAATAATATCTTCAATTGGTATTGATCTTGCAATATTTAAATTATAATTAATATTTAAACTTCTACCCTCTGAGATAATATCTCTAAATCATAAAGACATAGACATAATTAAATTTAGAATAGCAATAAAAAATAAATTTCAACCCAATTCAAAATTATGCATACCTAATACCCCTGAAGTTGTTAAAGTAAACAAGGCTATACTGGTATTAAGTGGCCAAGGGGAAGGAGAAACTAGATGATACGGATGAAATTGTAAATTCAAAATAATCTAGTAAACTCCATATTTATATATTATTTATTACTTTTAATAGTTATTACTATAGAACCTACCATACTTAATAATAAGATTAAAGATATTAAGATCAATCATATAGAATAAGTAGAATACATAACATTACCTATATTATTAATATCAGATAAACCTAATAAAGCTATATCTCAATTATTACTACTAGCAAAATAAATAATATCATTAGAATTATATCAAGATGAAATATTATAATTATCAATATTTAATTTAGTATTTATAGGTAACATTTGACCTAATATATAAATAAAAGGAATAATAACAAGTATAGAAAGAGGTAAATAATTATAATTATTATTAAAAATTTCAGAAATTCTAATATTGATTAACATTAAAATAAATAAAAATAAAATAGATACAGCACCAATATATACAAGTAAATAAGATAAACCTAAAAAAGTTAAACCAATTATAATTAAATATATAGAAATACCAGAAAATAAAGCTATTAAAAATAAAACAGCTACAACAGGATTAGGACTTATAATAGTATATACACCAAAAAAAATACAAAAACCAAACAAAATATTTAAAATACCACTATGAAAACCATTAGTATCTAAATCAATAATACAATACAATAAAATCTAAAAAAAAAATCTCAGATATTAAATAAAACAAAAACTGAGCTAGCTGCGATAGGAAGAGAAGGAATTGAACCTTCGATGACTATTAGCCATTGAGTTTACAGCTCAACTCGTATACCAACAAACGAGACCTTCCTTAAACACATTGTGTTACTATTTTTTTTTAGATTAAGTTCATGAGTCCCGTGCAATTTCCATTACACGAACCATATTTCGACTTAACACCAATCAAAGTCACACATACGAAGATTATAAAATTATATATATATTTAGATTTATATATATTAAAATAATTAATAACCAAACTTATTGCATATACTTCTTTCAGCGCCTGACGAGTGGTTAGTACCTAATTGATCTCAAATTCACCGTGACGTTATGATTCACGATTACTAGTAATTCCTTATTCATGTAGCAATTTACATCCTACAATCCATATTATCCATTTTTAAAGATTAGCTCCATTTCACAATTTAGCTTCCTTTTGTTATGGTATTTGCAGCACGTCTATAGCCCACAATATTCTGGCCATGATGACTTGTCTTAGTCCCCTTTTCCTATGGAGGGATTAGTTCTAGAAGCAGGAAAAAATATATCTTATATAATTAAATAAAATCAGGGTTTTCGTTAGTTTACAGGAGTTAACCAGATCTCACGACACTAACTAAAGACAGCCGTGCAACGCTTGTAATAATACTATTATTATACAAATTGTGGTAAGGTTTGTCGAGGATTATCGAATTAAATAACATACTTCACTACTGATCTCAAAAACGGTCTAATGATTTCAGTTCCAATGTTGCCATTTTACTCTTGAGGTGGAATGCTTTCACTTTCATTTATAAGCTAAATTTCTTTTTACTTATGGCATTCAGTATTTTCTGCTTGGACTACTAGGGTATCTAATCCTTATTGCTACCCAAGCCTTCGTCCCTCAACGTCAGTTTTTAAATAAAAGGTTGCTTACGCTGATAACAGTCTTCTTGGTATTAAAAAATTTTATCTCTACTCCAAAAGTTCTCACCTCATATTATTAAACTCTAGTAAATTTTTCCCTCCTTAGAGGTTTTTACTGTCTAGGTACCCTTTAAACCTGCTTATGATAATTAATACTAGCCTACTACGTATTACCGCGACTGCTGGCACGTAATTTAGTCAAGACTTATAAATAAATACTTGTCATTATCATTATTCTTATTTAGAATTTTAAACAAAATTTGTTAATTATTTTAATATTACATTCTTCCAAGTTGCTGGTTCAGCCTTTAGGCCATTGACCAATATCCCTCACTGCTGTACTTTATGCTTTGGGGTTTTTTCAGACCCAATGTGATCAATAGACCTTTCAGTCTTGATTACGATCTTTTAGCTAGTTAAGTTATTACCTTATCTACTACTTGTCGTTATATTTATTAACATCTTAAAGCAAAATTATTTATTTCCTTTCTTTTTTTATAAAGGATTTATCCCCCTTTCTTTAAGGCAGCCAAAATATATTACTCACCTTTACACCACTTTATTACTCTTTTAAATAATAACGTTAGATTAGCATGTGTCAAGCACTTGAAAAGCATTCAATCAGAGCCATCATCAAACTCAATTTATTTATACTATATTTAATAAATATTATTTTATTATTATTTTTATTTTTAATATTTATCAAATTATTATTATTTCTTAGAGAGGAATATATATATCTATATCTCTCCTCTCTCTATTTCGATTATCTCAATTTATTATAGTATTTCCTAACATTAATTCTTATCTTTTTAATACTAAATTTTTTTTTGTATATTAATTATATTTACTATATATATTATATATATATTTATATATATTAACTAAATAATCCAAATAAAATTATATACTTATAACTAGATATATATATATATATTTATAACTATTTAAGTACTAGGTATCCTTATATAATTTATAAAAAAAAAATGAGATATATACATATAACCTCATTTATAGGTATTGAAGTTTTTAAACCTCAATTCAACTAAATATAGTTAAATATAAAATAAAATATACCTATAAAAACTATTTGTAACAAATAAGCCGAATTCTGTAAAAATATTATAATTCTAAATAAATAATTAGTGTTGGTAATAAGCTCATAAGAATAATATCTGATATATTAATTCTAGATTTTTTCTGTCTTTAACCCTAAATTTTTATATAAATACCTTAAATGTATTAACACCTAATAAAATGAGGACTTTCCTTAGTTTTTGTAACAAATAAATATGTAAATAATAAAATTAAAAAAGATTAATGTAAATCTAGAGAATCTTTAATATAACTACAAGTTAATACAACAAACACTTGACTTTGTATAAAAGCAATACCTAATTCTAAACCAGAAAAAGCTAAAATAAAAGCTAAAGGTATTAAACCTAAGATAAAATAAAGTAAACCAGATTTCATTATTTTATAAGTAAAACCACTTAATATAACAAGTAACATATGACCACTTAAAATATTAGCACTTAAACGTAGACCTAAAGAAATATTACGAGCTAAATAAGAAATAAATTCAATTAAAACTAATAAAGGTAATAAACCTAAAGGACAACCAGATGGAACAAAGAATGAAAAGAATTCTAAACCATGTTTTTGAAAACCTAAAAATGTTGCACCTAAAACAACAGTAAAACTAATAAAAAATGTTAAGATAAAATGAGATGTAGATGCAAAACTATAAGGGATTAAACCTATTAAATTATTAACTAATATAAATATAAATAATACAAAAATAAAAGGGAAATATATTTGCCCTTTTTTAGGATTTATTTGATTTATAACTACACTATGTATACTTGCATACATAGATTCTTCTGATATTGTTCAAGAATCTGATATTAATTTTTCAGAATATGTTACAAAATAATTTATTCATAATATAATAAATAAACCTATTAATAAATATAAACCTATGTTTGTTAATGAGATACTTTGATTAAATATACCTAATTTAATGCTAAAAAAATCTTTTATTTCAAATTGATCTAAAGGACTTATTAAATTTTCTAATCTTGTCATTTTTTTTTTTAATTTTTAATACTTATATTATATTCAATAAAATAATAATAATTATTTTATTCTTAATGCAATGTGAATAAATTTATAGATAAACTATTAATAACAGGGGCTAATAATAAATTTAATATATAAATAAACCTATATTTATATATTTATACAACTAATTGTTTATAATGAAACACCAATATTTGTCTTAACTAACAGGATAGACAAAATATAATCAAATAGATTATATATAAATATATATATCTATATATAATAAAACTAAAATTAATATAATGATATAAATATAGACATAAAGAGGAAAACATACAATTTATTATAATTTATTAATAAAAAGACGAGATACAAATATACGAAGGAATCAAGGTAAAACAATTCCACTGAAAAAAATAAATAAGAGACTTAAAATAAATAAAGTAAATAAAGTTTGATTAACAAAGAAAAATGGTACTAATTGTGGCATAATAAAAAAAAAAAGAGTATTAAATATATAGAACTAATAAGTAAAAAAATAAAAATAAAAAGCAAAAAGTAACAAAGGTAAAAAAAAAATTAACTATAAATTAATGAAGAAACAGAATAATGAAGACCATCTAAGATAGGGGCAGGATAAATACCAAATAAGACAGTAAATACAACAAGAGAAAGTAATAATACAAATTCTCTTTTAGTTAAATCATTAACATAATTAAAGAAATAAGAAGAATATTTACCACCAAAAGCTATTCTATTAAACATAAAGATAGTATAAGCAGCGGAGAAAACAATAGAACTACTAGCTAAAACACCTAGAATAGAGATTCTTTCAAAAACACCATAAAGAGATAAGAATTCACCAACAAAATTTAAAGTAAGAGGAGAACCACAATTACCTAAAGAAAGAATATAAAATAAAATAGAGAAAATAGGCATTAATTGAGTCATACCTCTATAATAAGTAATTAATCTAGTAGAAGATCTATCATATAAAACACCACCAACACAAATAAATAAACCAGAAGAAACAAAACCATGAGCTAAACCTAAAGAAATAGCACCCTCAATACCTTGAAGAGTATTACTAAAAGCACCTAAAAGATAAACAGCTGCATGAGATACAGAAGAATAAGCAATAAGCTCTTTAATATCAATAGTTCTTAAAGTACTAAAACTAGCATATAAAATAGTAATAACACCTATAAGATAAACAATATAAGTAAAATCAATAGTAGCATTAGGTAATAAAGGTAAAATTAATCTAAAAATACCATATAAACTTAATTTTAAAACAATACTAGCTAAAATAATACTACCAGCTAAAGGAGATTCAACATGAGCTTTTAATAATCAAGAATTTAAAAAAATAGTGGGAGTTTTAACAGCAAAAGAAATAAAAATACCAATAAATAAAAAAAGTTGAGTATAATAACCGATATTAGCCTTAGATAAAGCATCAAAATCAGTAGTACCCATAATAGATAAGATAGTTATAATAGAAAGTAACATAAATAAAGAACCTAATAAAGTATATAAAAATAAATAAAAACTAGCTCTAACTTTATCTTTAGAACCAAATAAACCAATTAATAAAAATATAGGAGGTAAAATACTTTCAAAAAAAATATAAAATAATAATATATCTAAAACTAAAAAAACAGCTAATAATAAAGTTTCTAATAATAATATAATAATAACAAAATATATAGTATCTTTTTCTTGTATTGAATTTCAATTAGATATTAAAGCTATAGGTAATATAATAGTAGTTAACATAACAAAATATATAGATATTCCATCTAAACCTAAATAAATATCAAAAAAATTAAATTTATAATGTTCCTCAATTTGAATAAATTGATATTGTTTACTACTAAAATCAAATAAAATAAAGATTATTAAAGATACAATTAAATTAAGAATTGTCATACTTAAACCAATAAATTTTATACGTTTAGTAGATATATAAGATATACCATAAGAAGCTTCAAATAAAATAAAAAGTATACCAACTAAAGGAATAAATAATAAAGTAAAAAGTGAAATCATATAAATTTAAATAATAATAATAAACATTTCCCTCCAGATTATTAAATAATAATCTAATGTAACA